CCCCTTGGTTTCTCTGTCTTACCCCATTCCTGTCTTCCTGTTTTCCTGTCTCTGTCTCTCTCCCCTGGAGAGATATTTGTTGGGCCCTGGAGGCATGGGGAGAGCATCTGAGTCCATGCAACATACTGTTTGGGCCCTTGGATGAGTGCCCAATAAACTCAGCTTAGGACAACAACAAGGTTTTAGCTCTGACCTAAAAGCTCTAACACCTAAGAGAGGGGCAAGAGAGCCAGAATCACTGTTGCCAGTTCTCACAGGGGTTGTGACCCAGTCAGTCCTGCTGGCCATGGCAGCCTCCTAAGCTGGGGAGGGTCCTGGCAGTGGGGTCTGAGCTGAAGATTGAGGATCCCCACCTGGCAGCCTTGACCAGAAATGGGGGAATGACTTTTGTCTTCAGCCCAGGTCCAGGGCGAGCCTCAGCCATCTGCCTGTGCTGTGGTGGCCTTATGGGGTGAAGCACAGGGCCAGGCCTTGGGGGAGGCTGGGCAGGTGGGTGCATGTGGGCTCGTGGAAGCCCTGGGCAGGAGCTGTGCCTCATGCTGTTGTTAGTGGAACCCCCCAAAAAAGGGATTTGCACAGGAGAGCTCCTTGGTCTAATCGGCTTCTAGACACCCAGTGACTGCAGGGAGCCCAGTGGCTGTGAGTGTGGGGAACCAGACTGAAGGCAGAGGGATGCTCCACAGAGGACAGCTGCCATCACCCAGCTCAGAGGCCAGGGAGATTCCTGGGGCAGGAGAAGAAGGGAGGGGACTGAGGACTGCAGAGGAGGTGGAAGATGGGAATTCTGGTGATCCACTGGATGTGAGGGGCATAGGAAGTGATAGCACTGAGGTGCTGCCTTGCTCTTGAATTGGTAGGATTTAGGGCTAGTAAGCTTTGGTATGTGAAATGTGGAAACCCCAGAGAGAGGCAAGGCCACCATCATAACTTTCATCTGCTATCTGCTGCCCTTCCCAGCTCTCCAAGCTTTCTTGCATCTCCCACTGCTGTTGCATGCTGGGTTTGTATTAGGTTTCTTTGTTTTTTGTGTTTTGCCTCCCAAGACCTCTTAAGTCCTTGCCCTTCTGTATGTCCGCCATGCAGGTGGGAGCTCTCCCACTTTGAAGTGAAGGTGGCTGTGATTGAACCTGATCACTTCAAGACCAATATGAGAAGCTTTGAGAGGCATTTACAGGACCTCAAGGAGCTGTCAGACCAGGTCAGCCCTGAGGTCAAGGAGACCTATGGGGAGAAGTTTCTGACATCCCATGAGTGAGTTCTGGACAATGGGGCAAGAAACAAATCCTTGTCTGGAAGTCCAGGTCCATCATTAGTGCCTCCAACAGTATGAGAGTCTGTCCTCCAGACTCTGCCTCCCCAACAAAGTGAGGACATTTAGCCCCATTCCCAGGGTGCCATGTGGTCAACTGTTCACATAAAGGAAGCATCCAAGTTTCCTATAGTTGGGACCACTGCCTCATCTGAACCCCTCATTATTTTGCAGAGGAAAGTGAAGTCAGAGACAGTGGGCTCATGGGCAGCTGGGTATAGAGATAGTTGATTTTCATATTCTTAGGCTGTTACTAGAGACCTTCAATTTATGAGTCCAGATATCTTAAAAAGAGAGGCTGAGGGAGCTTAGAGTGGCACAGATGTTTCTCGGGTGAAGGTTGGGGCACTCTCTGGGGAATATGGATAGATTACACTTGAGGCATATCATTTGGGGGGCCTGGAATTCTTAGACACTATCCTTCTAATTCAGAGCTCTAAATGGGAGGGAAAGGATGTGCTAGTACATTAAGGATCTTTCCTGATCCTTAACAGGCATCAGAAAAGCATCTAGAAGCCTTTGGGCAAAATGCAGTATGAATATATCCTTGTTGACCCACTGCATGGAGCACTCACTACTCAGCTGGCTGAGATGCCAATCTTCTCTACCTCCCCATGAGTGTCATGCCTACCTTCCTATGGACGTCATGCTCCATTGGGGCTCTCCAAGGCCGGCTAAGCCCCTATGAATCCAAGACTGGGGTGCATGGTTGGGTGGAGCTGGGTGACCTGGGTGAGATGATGTGTCCTGGGGAGAGTAATGGCATGGTGGGAGGGAGCTCTCTTGTCATCTGGATGCCTATTTCACCTTCTTCCTCATGCCCTCAACAGAGTTCCACTGAGATATCACTCAGGACTGGCAACATTAGGCGGAAAGAACCAAGATGTTCTGCTAAAGAATGGGACCCAGTGGCACTCATAGGTGTCCTGTTGCCTTTGAGTCTTTTGGCCAATTCTGAGGAGTCTACACAATGGGAGGGTGTGAGGAGGGGAAGGATCCACAGCCCACAGCTTCTCTGCCTCCTGCTCCTTCCTCAGGTGTGCATCAACCTGGCCAGTCTATTACACTCTCCCCATGATGGAAATGGCCTGGAGGAAGTGGGTGAGGGCTCCTCTGAATACACCTGTGGACATGGTGTGGGGTGACAGGGCAGCCAGCCTGACCCCTAGACCTCAGGTGCCAGCTCTGGGGGCACTGGCTGGCAGTGGTGTCCTCAATAGGGATTGTGACAGAAGACACAGGAACCAATGTTTGACTCTCTTGAAACCATGGGCTTCTCTGGTTACTTTTGTTCTAGAGCAAAGGCTGAAAAGTGCAGCCATGTGCAGCAAGTTGCCTTCTAGTCTGAGGGGAACATGGGCTGTGAGCTAGAGGGAGGAGGAGGCAGGTGCCTTCATGGGGATCTGGGGATGAGAGGGACGAACTCAGGAGGAAATTGAAGAGAGAAGTTGGATTATCCCTGCCCTGTCTCAGCCCTTTCTGCCACCAAGGTGAGGGGCAATTGTTTTCTTTCCAGGAATGAATCAAGTAGCCTGGGATCACAGGAGCACACAGGGACAAGGAAGCAATGGCATGTCACTAAGGCACTGGCAGGCCCCAGATCCCTTCCCTGGGGCACCTGAGTCCTCTTCTTCTCTCAAGCAAACTCTTTGTAGCACTCAGTGACCGGCCCTCACTTTAACGTCATTGCATTTGGGAGGGGTACTGTTTCATGGGGTGAGAAATAGAGTGGTGGGAGGGAGCTCTCAAGTCCAGGGTCTTATACCTCACTTCCCTCACCTCTGTTCTAGGTTTCTCCCGGGATGTTATTCAGGACTCCGGTGATATTAGGAGGAAAGAACCACATTTTGCTGCTTAGGAAGGGAGACCCAATCACAGATAATGGCATCCCACTTCCTTGGGCCCTGAGCCTCATGGCCCACTTGTCACCCTGAAGAATCCACATTTGTGGAAGGTCTTGAGCAACTGGGGGTAGGTGAGCCCACACCTGCTCTTCCTCCTGTCTACCTCATCAGGGTGTGTCTTGGCCCTCAGAGTCTATGCTCTCCCACTGGAGGGAAATGGCCTGACAGAGGAGAGAGCTCCTCTCCTCTGAGATACCTGTGTGCATGGGGTGGGGATGGGGAGTGCAGCTACCAACCTGACCTACCAGACCTTAGGGGCCAGCTCAGCAAGGAGTCCTGTCATCTGAGAGAGGAAGGCATTTCTAGCCCTGGGAGGAAGAGCCTTCTATGTGGTCCTACAGCCCTCACACCCCACACCCTCATGGACTGTGTGTTTAGTTTGAGACCAGGGGAACACTGCCAGCACAGAGGCCCAGGAGGTGCTGAGTCAGGCCCAGGCCTGCGCTGGAGCAGTTCTGAGTTATCCTTATTCTAGGTTTGGAGCCAACTCCTGGACCTCACCTGTGTCCTCAAGAACTGGGATACCCACTGCCCCAGGTCTGCTCAGTCCTTGAGTGACATGGTCTGACCTCTCCCAGCCAAGACTTCTCTGTTCATTCACCCAGGAGGCAGACAGACACTGGGAGATGGTTCCCAGATCCCACATAGGAGGTGCTCTGCCTCGAGGTGGTTATGAAGTAGGTGCGGTTTGCTTTCTACCATTTTCCACTTCCATCCCCTATAAGTTTTGGGTCTGCTCTTCAAGGGTGGGTTCATAATCTGCCCCCCTCCACTACTTTGTTAAGGAATGGCCAAACCCTGCAGGGCTTTCCCAAGGTGGCACCTGCTTTATGTGATTCTACGCTCATCAGACTTGGCAAATGGTGGATCACAGAGATACATCCTTTGTTCCTTCACACTAGAGAACTTTGTGGTCCCATTTCTGTATCAGACTCTCTAAGCCATGAAGGTGTGAGCTGGGACCAGGCTCATCCCAAGGGATAGTGACCCTAGATGTTGATCCAAAGAATCACAGGAGGCTCCAGCATCATTCCCCTGCATCTTATGAAATTCTGGGTGTGGCCCCTCACTACTCACACCTCTGGTTTCCTTATTTCCTTTCCTTTACCACCTTCCCTCTTAGCTTTCTGTAAATTATTTGCTAAATTGCCTAGACTCTCTTCTTCTCCTCCAAGTCCCGACCCAGAGAATTTTCTATGTCTCTGGCCCCAGTTCTCTGCTCTTCCTATATCTCATCCCCTCTTACAGTCAAGGCCTCTGCCCAGACAATTCCCTCAGCTGCCCAGTGAACTCATGATTCCACCTCATCATCTTGCCCAGGGCCAGTCACTGATGGCCTGAGTATCATCCCTAGGGGGTGTCAGGCCTGAGTCCCCCAGGTCTTTCTGCTTTCTGGTGGCTAAGTTTCACATCACCAGCCTCCCCTATAGGAGGGCCCTGCTGCCTCCAGCCTCAGGACAGTGGAGGTACATCCACCTTAGGAGAAATCCATTGCTTTTCTCCTCTCTCCTGGTGGAGACTTACCTAAGAATTCCAGAAAGCTGACGACCTGCAACTTGTTTCTCTTGGGGTTTGGAAGGTACAGAACTAATGTTGTTTGTTTTACATTAATAAATTTGTCTTGAGTATTTTCCCTGAAAATAAAACTTAAACTTATTTACATACCTGCACTCATTACAAAAGATTTTGATCTCTGGAGACCAAAATCCCTAGGCTGGGTTGGGGGTAGGGTGGTGACAGGATTTCTAGGGGAGCTGTCTGGGGTGAGTCCTCCTTTTTCATTTGCCTCCCTTACACCACCTGGGTGAACCACCACTCATCACCAACATTGCCAGTGGATTCTTTCCCATTCTTGGCAGCTTTACCCATCAGGGCAGGGGGAGAGAAGGAGGCAGCCACCAGGGCTGTCAGAGGTGACAAGGCTTCAGGTTGGACTTGAATTTCTTGCATCTGAGCTAATTGCTGTGGTGATGCATCCACTTATAAAAATTACAGCGTGGCTCACCCAGGGACCTAGATTTGTTGCAAGCTGTGGGAGGGAGGAGAGTTCTTCTTCCAGGTGGTTTCCTGTAGACTGCCTGCTAGGGCTCAGAGGACCAGCTTCCTCCTGCTGTCTCCTGAGCCCACTCCCTCTTGGCCATCACATCCTCCTGCCCTATGGCGGCCCTCACAGACCTCTCATTTATGTACCGCTGGTTCAAGAACTGCAATCTGGTTGGCAACCTCTCGGAGAAGTACGTCTTTATCACAGGCTGTGACTCTGGCTTCGGGAACCTGCTGGCCAAACAGCTAGTTGATCGGGGCATGCGGGTGCTGGCTGCTTGCTTCACTGAGGAGGGAGCCCAGAAACTTCAGCAGGATACCTCCTATCGGCTGCAGACCACCCTACTGGATGTCACCAAGAGTGAAAGCATCAAGGCGGCGGCCCAGTGGTTGAGGGACCAAGTGGGCGAGCAAGGTGGGGTGAATTACATTCTTTGACTTTCTTGGTTTCTCCTTCTTCCTCTTCCTCTCTCCCGAAGCATCTGACAGTATCAGAGACCCTGATGTCCAGATGGGGTGGGAGGGGTGACACAGGAAAGGCTCCTGCTTCAATCTGGTTGGAAGCCACTGCATGGTTTGGCCTGTTCACATGAAGGGGTGATTTCCCAAGGAAGTTTTCTGTCCTGGAAACTCAGAGACAGGAAAGAGGTCTCAATAGGAAGTGAGGGGGGAAGATGTGTTCTGTGTGTCCAAACCTCTAAAAATGGACATGCCTGGCTGGGCATGTTGGCTCATGCCTATAAATCCAGCACTTGGGAAGTCCGAGGCGGGAAGATCATGAGGTCAAGAGATGGAGACCATCCCGGCCAACATGGTGAAACCCATTTCTACTAAAAAATACAAAAATTACCTGGATGTGGTGGCATATGCCTGTGATCCCAGCTACTCCGGAGGCCGAGGCAGGAGCGTCACTTGAACCCTGGAGGCGGAGGTTGCAGTAAGCCAAGATTGCGCCACTGCACTCCAGCCTGGTGACGGTGAGACTCCATCTCAAAAAAAAAAAAAAAAATTGGATGTGCCTCTCTGAGGTTTCAGCAGTCCTAACCATCAGCTCCTGGGGAAATATAAGCACATTTCTTGTTGGGATCAGAATAAGGGGGAGGGGGAATGAGACAGGAGGTTGGATCCCATGAGGGGGTGCAGTTTCTCTCCTTGACTATGTCAGGCAGGGGAGAAAGAGATCTGGTCTCTTCTTGACATCATGGTGGGTGTTGGTTTGACTTCAGGGCAAGTATGTACGTCAGAGTGGCTGTTCCTATCGGGAAAGGAAGCTGTGGACTGGGGCTGGCCCAGGACTGCATGGGGACCTGCGTCATGCACTTGCAGCACACAGGGTGTGGGCCCAGGAACAGGAGGAACAGGATGGCTGGGTTGCAGAAGCAGCAGACTAGAGGAAGTCCTCCCTCCTAAAGGAACTAGTCTGGAGCCCATGCACAGGTCAGGGCAACAGAACCCTGGAGCCAGGGGGATCCAGACAGTAATTCCCTGCTTGATTCTTCTCCTTAGCACTTATCACTAGTCAATGTACAATAGATTTTACTTATTTATTGTCTGTTTTCTCCTAGAATAAAGCTTCCTGGGGACAAGGATTTTTGTCCCTTTTATTTACTGTGCATCCTTAGTACCTAGAATAATGTCTGGCACCTAGTAAGGTACTCAATAAATAGTTTTCGAGTGAGCTAATTAATTAGTAATTCAGCAAGAGTGAGCCTCTGTCTTCAGCAGGCTGTCTCAACCAGTTCCCTACCTTCAGCCTTGAGCCACTTGCCTTAATACCTCACTTAGCATGTTAGTTTCCTGTTGCTGTTGTAACAACACAACTGTACAGTCTGAAGACAATACAAACATATTATCTTGTAGTTCCGGAGGAGTAATGTCCAAAATGGGCCTCACTGATCTAAAATCAGTCAGCAGAACTGTGTTCCTTCTGGAGGCTGTAGAGGAGAATCCTTCTCTGCCTTTTCCAGCTTCCAGAGGCAGCTGACATCCCCTGGCTCCTGGCCTGCTACCTCCATCTTCAAGGCCTGCAATGTTGAGCCCAGTCTTTTTCACACTTTTCTCAATCTCTCTGATTCTCTGGTTTCTGCCTCCTTCCACTTAGAAGGACTCGTGATTATATTGGGCTCACCAGTTTAATCCAGGATAATTTCCCTGTGTTAACTTCCTCCCTAACTTTAAGGACAATTGATTAGCAACCTCCATTCCACCTGAAACCTTAATTCCCCTTTCCCATGTAATCCAGCAGATTCACAGGTTCCAGAGATAATGAGGCTGGTGACATCTTTGGGGGACCATTATTTTGCCTAAGCCACTGGGCAATATCCTTGCCTAAGAAGCACCGGGAACTGGGGTGGGTAGGGGGATGGGAGAGGAAGTTCTTGTGTGCTTTCTCATTGCTCCTGAATGCACAAAGGCAGGGAGATTGGGTAGGGGCATGGCTTCGGTGGGCACCCCGGCCCTAGAGGGAGGGGTGGACTAGGATTTATGTTTGTGTTGAGACCTGCCCTCAGGAGACAGTGGGATGCGCCTGCAGAGTATCCTGGGGCTGCTGAGGCTGGCGCTGTCAGGGGAATCTCCAGGGCAGTAGGGCTTGGGGAATCCTTGCATGAAGGAGCTGGAAGGGGTCCTTGAGCAGTGTTTAGAGGGACCCCTTCCCTAAAGTGTCTTTAGCATCACCCTCCCTCTGGTGGAATTTTTTTGGAACTCCAATATGTAAAACAAATGAAAGGAGAGCTTCTCCTGCATTTTCCTCCTGCTAGAAGGCTTGCAAAATACAGTCTGGAAGCAACTGTTTTAGTCCAATCTGATGAAGAGTCTGAAGCCCAGAGAAGGAAGTGACTTGTTCAAGGCTGGAGGTAAAACCAGGACTGGACCTGACGCTCTTCAACCCTGGGCCCCTGCAAAGTTGAATGATCACACTTAGCATTATTTCTTTCCATTTGTACCAACCTAATTGAAATATCTCAAAGACAGTCCTCATCACATTTTCCATAATTATTTTATTTAAATAATTTATATATTTATTTATTTATAAATATTATTATTTCCTTCTAGGCTTGTGAGTTCCTGGAGGGATAAAATGCTGTGTTGTTCATTTTATGTCTCCTTTGCCCTGTATTTTACTTTATTTTATTTCATATCATTTTATTTCATTTTATTTTCAGAGACAGGGTCTCACTCTGTCACCCAGGCTGGAGTGCAATGGCACCATTATAGCTCACTGTAACCTTGAACAAGGTAACCTGTAACCTGGGCTCAAGTGATTCTCCCCCCTCAGCCTCCCAGTAGCTAGAACTACAGGTGCATACCACCACACCTGACTAATTTTTTTTCTTTTTTGTAGAGACGGGAGTCTCACTCTGTTGCTCAGGCTGGTCTCAAACTCCTGGCCTAAAGTGATCCTCCCACCTCTGCCTCCCAAAGGGTTGTGATTACAGGTGTGGGTCACTGCACCTGGCCTCCTTCACCCTACAATTGTCACAGACTAGATACATGCATGAATAAATGTGTAAAGATGGATGAATGAATGAATGGATTGATTTTGGTAGTATGTGAAATGCAGTTGGTTATACTTAAGTGAATAGAGAGAGAGAAGCATGATGGGGAAGGGATCTAAACACTAATTCATTGGTATGAAAATGAAACTCTTATCCCAACGCTTATAGCTGAAATGCTGTTAGCTAACACCTTGATTGTAGCTGGCACAGAGCGCCAGCTAGTCGGCAGACTTTACTTGAATTGGGAAAAAGTGTCCCTTCAGGAAAAATGAATTAGTAAAAGATACACCTTTCTTTTATGTTATAGCCTGACTGGGTTGTGTCTTGTGCACCTGCTCAACCATCCTTGAAGGCACTGAGCCAGTGGGGAGCAAACCTTGGTTCTTTCCCAGGCCCCCTGATGATTTCTATGTGGTTCTCCATCTCACCCCCAGGCCTCTGGGCCCTGGTGAACAATGCTGGTGTGGGCCTGCCCAGTGGTCCCAACGAATGGCTGACCAAGGAGGACTTTGTGAAGGTGATTAATGTGAACCTGGTGGGACTGATCGAAGTGACCCTTCACATGCTGCCCATGGTCAAGAGAGCCCGGGGCAGGGTTATCAACATGTCCAGCTGTGGTGGTCTTGTGGCCGTCATTGGTGGTGGCTACTGCGTCTCCAAGTTTGGCGTTGAGGCCTTCTCTGACAGCATCAGGTAAGTGGGCCCTGGTACTAAACCACTCCAGGTAGAAATCCCGGGGGTTAGAGAGGGTTGGGAGTGACAGCTTGTGGGCAGGGGAATTCTGCAGACAGGAAGCTAACACAATAGCAGAAGGAAGGTTAGACCTCAAGGTGCCTTCTCCAAGGACCAAGAGAAGGTATGAGGAGAAGAGGTAGGGTGGAAATACGAGGCATCAGGTGGGCCTTCCCTTGAGCAGCACCAGGGTGAGTGAAACCCTGTTTGGGCCTGTGAGAGGAGGAGGGAGAGTCCCCCATAAGACAGACAGGCCTGGAGGCAGAGGTCCCCTCTGGAGGTCTTTAGAGGAGCATGCAGGTCTTGTGTAGACCCACACCCTTCACCATGTGGGTGTTGAGTGAGGAGTTGCTAATGGGAGGGACCTGGTGGGAGGTAAGGCTTGGCCTAGATTCTCTATTGACTTCTTCCCGCCGGTTATGCCTAATGCAAATTGCCCAGAGACTGCTGGGCCAGTCTGGGAAAAGGCTGAGTACCTAAGGAAGGGCTTAGTTGCATAAAGGCAATGCCAGGGCCATGCACAGGGGGTGAGGGAGGCATCTCTAGGTTCCTGAAAGACAAGCCCATCCAGAGGTGACTCTCCCTGATGATTGTCATCTTGAGACCCAGACTGAGCACAACTCTTCTTTCCCAGGCGTGAGCTCCACTACTTTGGGGTAAAGGTCTGCATCATTGAGCCAGGGAACTACCGGACAGCCATTCTGGGCAAGGAGAACCTGGAGTCACGCATGCGAAAGCTTTGGGAGAGGCTGCCTCAGGAGACCCGGGACAGCTATGGAGAGGAGTATTTCCGTAACTGTAAGTTCCTGAGGCAGGGGAGGGGTCTCTAAGGGGGGCGAGTGGGTCTTGGGGTCATTAGCTGGCTTTCCATTTACAGATGGTGAGACAAAATGCAGAGGAGTTCAGGACCCAAGGTCACACAGCGGCAGAGCTGGGGTTTGAGAATAGACAGCAGGCGGCAGAATCATCACTGCTGGAGCGGTGCGGGGAGTTAAGGGCAATTCGGCCCACTCCTGGCACCTGCCCACACAGCATCATGATGCAGGGGAATCAGGTGAAAATGTACTGAGATAAATATAGTGAAGAGATCAAGAGCATGGCTGCTGGAGCCAGACTGCCTGGGTTCAAATCCTGGCTGTACTACTTACCAGCTAGGAGACTTTGGGCCTATTACCTAGTTTTCCCATGCCTGAGTTTTCTCATTTACAAAATGGAGCTAAAGATAGATAGTGCCTCCTTCATGGGGTTGCTATGAGGGTTAGTATGTGTGAAGTGCTTTGCACATTCGAGTGCTTGTTAATAAAGAAGAAAATGAGCACATGGGGATTTAAAAGAGAGGGTCTCTAGGCAGCTCTCTTTCTCTCCCTGAGCTGAGGGTCTCCTGTGAATCATTGGTGTTTTTGGAGGGTAGAGGTGGGACATGGCAGCTGTTTATCCTGCTGCCCCAAAACTTTGTGCTGCGAAAGTTGTCTGCTGGACATCATACGTCAGCAGAGCACAAAGCCAAGACAGCCATTTTTTTCACTTAATACATACACACTTTATTGCATTTTTGTTTTTTATTTTTGTTTTGAATCAGTAATACAAAACATGCAAGGCTGCCATGTCCCAAGCATGTGTGGGGCTGGAGAGCTGGAGCGGACATAGCGGTGTGCCTGCCCCTCACTGCCTGTAGCTTATGGCCCAGTAGGGGAGATAAACATTAATAAAAACACATGTGTTTATGGTAGATGTGGATAAGTGCAACAGAGGAGAAACAGGGTTGTGAAAGGAGAATGAAGCGGGAAGTTGGGGTCCCAATTCAGGTTGTGGTGAAGGGGAGAGCTTCTCTGAGTTGACTTTGAGGAGGAATAAGAGTTAGGTGTTGCTGGGAAGGGGAAAGAAGGGACTTTTTTTCTGCAGGAAGGCTCTGAGGCAGAAAACTCCATTTGAGGAACTTTAAAGAAACCAGCAGGTGGGAAGCAATGGGAGGTAGCTGGAGTATACAGAATAAATTAGAGCATCAAAGCACACTGAGGATTAAGGGGTGAGGGAGAGGAAGCTATCAAGGGTGAGTGCTAGCTTTACAGCTTGAAGAATATGGTGGATGGAGGTGTCATTCATTCATTGATTTAGGGAAGCCTCAGGGAAAAATGTTTGGGGTACCCCTAAGGTAAATTCATCTTTTAGTGCTAGACATGTTAGGATTCTGTGAGAAGAAAATGTCTAAGGATTTACATTAGTTGGGACTTACTCAGTGACAGAAGATCCAGTGCTAATTATTTAAGCAGAAAAGGAATTTCTTGCCTCACCTGACTAAAAAGTTGAGCAAGATAAGCTTCAGGTACAACCTGACCCAGACTGCAAATGATGTTGCTAGGACCTGGTTTCACCCATTTCTTGGCTCTGCTTCTTTTGCGTTGACTCCAATCTCTAAGCTCTCTCCCCTGTGGGAGCCGCATAACTGCAGCATCTCTTCACCTCCACCTAGGGTGAGGTCTGCTGGGAAAATAGGAGAGTTCTTTCCAGTACCTCTCCCAAAAGTCCTAATGTACACTCTGACTTGGAGGACTTATGGTGGCCACATCATAGGGGACTACAAGATGCACCCAACCCTAAACCAGTCACTGCGCCCAGGGGAATGTGAAGGTGTGATTGGCTCAGGCTGGGCCATGTGCTCTGCCCAGACCAATGGACACGGTGTTGGGGAGGCATAGGTCCCCAAAGGGAAATGTGCTGCCGTTGGGAGCAAGGAGAGTAGATGTTAGTGTGTGGGGGGAAGAATATTTATCCTCTGTGTGATCATTCTTAGCAAAGAGTAGTTCAAATTATTTGTGGAGCTGCTCTGAGGCTGGGGCAAAGTGAATTCAGCCAGTGTCTGGAAACCTCACAAAGTCATTTTCTAAGTAAGCACTCAGGGTGAAGAGTGATTGTAGCATCTTTAGTGTGGTTCATGGAAGAATATGTATAAAGGCAAACTCCTCTGAAAACCTTGTCCAGAAACTGGTATTGTTATACTAAAGAATAGTAAGGATTGGGCTTATAAAATATGTTAGGCCAATTCACCTGTAGTCCACACCATAATTTCAGAGGAAAATTTTCAGGCAGTGGTCAACTACACTTAGATAAACATTTTCCCAAGTGGTTATACCAGAATTTTCGCTTCAGTTGCCCAGTGTTTATTGGGATACAGAGATGAGACAGTCTCCGGGAAACTAGCAGGGAAGATGTGAAAGTAAATACAGCACCACATGAAGAATCTTGCAATAATGGACATGCGTACAAAACAAGCAGCAGTGCAGACTTCACTCCGCTGTCACAGAAGCCTTACAGAGGTGACAGTTAATGCCTCAGTGAGTTTTGAAGGATGAATAGGAGTATACCAACAGGGAAAGAGATGGTGGATGTTTTACACAAGAGGAAGGGTGTGAGCAACATTTTGGTGACCTGACATAGCATTGTATGCTTTTAGAGGTAGTGCCGATTCAGGCTTGTATTCCAGCAGTCCCCCTAATCATGTTGTACAGCTCTCCAAACTTGTTTATCCATTTATAAAGTACAATTCCTCTCTCGTGGATTGTTAGGAGATTTAAACAGAAATGCAAAATACTCAGCTCTGCCACAGTAAGAGCTGAACAAACCTTTGCCATTGCCATTATAGTCTGGCAGGAGCGCTGTGGGTGGTGATTGAGGAGGGGAGAGATTAGGAGTCAGATCATAAAATGCTTTGGTTGCTATACTAAGGAGCATGGCTCTTATCCTAAAGGCATTAGAGAGCCTTGTGAATGGCTCTGAAACGGCAGATCAGATTTGTGTCACTGTGGGAAGGATAAAAAGGCCACCTGGGAGACCACTGCAGAGACCCAGCGAAGGAATGATAAAGACGTGAAGTTCTGAGTCATGGTGGTTCTGGTGCGGGGGTGGCTGTGTGACAGACAGGAGAGACATTTAGGAGTAGTCCTAGAGCATCACTGGGTACAAACTCAGCAAGTTGCTGTGGCTGACCAAACGGGCCCCTGGCTTGTAACCCCTAGGAGCAGGCCTGATACTTTATAGACTTTATCTTGCTTAATTCTCCCAATAACAAAAACGTTTTCCCAGGTGCCCAACTCCAAAGCCTATGTCCTTCCTCACTGTGAAGGAGAGTGACAAGGCCGGATGGGTCCTTCAGTCTCCCTTCCCACTCCATGCCTAGCAGGGTGCCCAGCACTGAATGGCAGCTAATATCTATTTGAGAAAACAATGAAAGCAGGTGCCTTATACCCTTTCCCATGTGTGGGGTACCTTCTTCCACCCCACTGCCTATGTAAGCCCTCTCCACCTCTCAGAACCCAGTCCCCAGCCCATCTCACCATGTCAGCTTGCTCCACCTCCTCAGCCCACAAAGGTTTCCCTGGCTCCGAGGTGGCAGAGACAGCCCCTTGGGCATCCTGAACGATTCCTTCGGCCCTCAGTCCTGCTGCTGGTGGCCTCTGTGCCAGCTCTATGGTCAGAGGTCAGGGTGTGGTTTTCCAAGACATTACTGCCTTATGGACAGTCTGGCTTTAAGTTAGTGTGGCTCTTGTTGAGATCCCAAAATGTAGTTTGGCTTTTTCCCTGCATCAGTTTTCTTTCCAGGAAACAGAAAATGGAGTTTCTCAGAGTCTGGGGCAAAAGGGACTGAAGTGACACTGCCCCATTCTCACCAACCACCCACAAGGATCCTGGCCCCGAGTGGGTGAATTCCTTGCCTGCCTGGACCATTCTCAAAGTCAGGGCAGCTTTGGCTTCCTCTCCATTTTCAAGTTTTCATCCCTCATCAGGGCAGTCTGACTTTGAAGCACCATTTTCTCTGGAGTCCTCAGGGCTCTCAGTGAAGCATGAATCCCTCTGTCCTGGGGTGAGGATGCACATGAGGGCCTGGTGGGTGTGTGGTGTGGCCCTTCTCCTATTTATGTCATGAGCTTTGGCAGACTTGTACCACCTGGGGTCTCTGTCCCCATCTCCACTCCTGGGTGCCAATGCAAACAGAACAGCCCCTCACATTTGTGAGGGCCCCACGAGGTGCTTGTCTATTCCTTAAATTGTTTGAGTCCACAATGGCCAATGATCTTATGACCGAGGTAGGGGCAGTATTACTATTTTTAAATAATATTTTCTCCTGCATGTTTTTGTTTAAATGTGGGAACCCTAGGAAGTACATAGAAGGAAAAAAAAAAAAAGGCTGTCTTCCCATCATGTTTGCTATTCTGTACTCCCCCAGTGTCTACCCTGCTATTAATCATCTTTTGGTATTCTCCAGGACAGACTTTTTTTTTTTTTTCTGAGATGGAGTCTCACTCTTGCCCAGGCTGGAATGCAGTGGTGCGATCTTGGTCACTGCAACCTCCTCCTCCTGAGTTCAAGTGATTCTCATGCCTCAGCCTCCCTAGTAGCTGCGATTACAGGCACGTGTCACCATGCCCGGCTAATTTTTGTATTTTTAGTAGAGAGGAGATGTCACCACATTGGCCAGGCTGGTCTCAAACTCCTGCCCTCAGGTGATTGACCTGGCTTGGCCTCCCAAAGTACTGAGATTACAGGCCCGAGCCACTATGCCCAACCTTCAGGAAAGATAGTATTATCTCCATTTTACAGATAATAAAAGTTTAAGCTCAAGGTAATATAACTAATAAGTGGCACAGTTTTAAGAATGCTCACAGTTCTTCTCATCACCAGTCTAATGCAATAGTAGGAAATCAATGCACAATTGTTGAATTCAGGAAGATAAATAAGATTGATGCTTTATTTATTTATTTATTTTGAGACAGCGTATCATTCTGTTGCCCAGGCTTGAGTGCAATGGTGTGATCTCGGCTCACTAAAACCTCTGCCTCCTGGGTTCAAGTGATTCAGTATCTCAGCCTCCTGAGTAGCTGGGATTACAGGCATGTGCCACCATGCCCGGCTAATTTTCATATTTTTAGTAGAGATGGGGTTTCACTATGTTGGCCAGGCTAAGATTATTTATAATAGTCTTATAAATGTGTGTTTGTATAAGGGACCACCTGGAGGGTGTGGCAGACCTGTCTGAAATGTTAGATCAGGGATCTCGTGGAAAGGGTAGTTGGACAGAATTCAGAAGAAATCATCTTTTATGAAGAATAACAGAGCCTTTTTCCACTCTCTGCCCTCAAACAGATACTGACAAGTTAAAAAACATAATGCAGGTGGCAGAGCCCAGAGTCAGAGATGTCATCAACAGCATGGAGCATGCTATTGTTTCCCGGAGCCCTCGCATCCGCTACAACCCTGGCCTGGATGCCAAACTCCTCTACATCCCCCTGGCTAAATTGCCCACCCCTGTGACAGATTTCATCCTGAGCCGGTACCTTCCAAGGCCAGCGGACAGTGTCTAAACTGGGGAGGCTCAATGGGTCAGTGGAGCCTAGAAGTGGGGGTGGAAGGAAGGACTGTGGGGTCACAAAAGGTGGTATCAGATATCCTGGGGACACTGGCTGCAAAGGACGCTTGGCTCAGCTGACACCCACTGCTGTCGAATTTACCAGTAACTTCTAACAGAAGATGAATGCCTCTTCCCACCCTCTGGGACCACACAGAAACCTGAGGTGGTGTTTGCAAGTTCAGCGATCTGCAGCAATGGCTCCAAGGACATCTGTCACCCAGTCAGGATATGGCTTTTTCTGGTCTTGGAAAAGTCATGGAGAAGAAAACCAGCTCCTGAGGAATCATGAGCCCCTTTCAGTTATCACTGCCACTGAGAAATACTGTGGGATAATCTTGCCTCCAGGAGAATCTAACCACCTTCCTACTGGGTCCCTCAATATGCATGACTTCATTCACATAACCCATCACTGAAGTACATAGTAGGGCAGATAGGGAGTGCAAGATTACATCAGACAAAAGTTTAAAATATTTTCTCTCTTTTTAGATTCTTCTATCTATAGGTGATTGGGATCCACATGAAATAACATTCATTTATTTAATCACCATTGAGTAATTTTTCAAATATTTATTGAGCACCTACTACCTACCAGGCACTTTGTAGGTGCTGGGGGAATATAAAGATGATTAAACCATGGTCTTGGTTATTTATTGTTTATTTTGTGTTTTGCTTTGCTTTGTTTTAGCACAATATCTAGTAGCTTAGTTAGGACAAACAATGATAGAAGGAATAGAAATCAGAATACAAATTTTTAGAACTATGAAGGACCCTGGAAGTGTTCATCCAATACTTCAAAAAATTGGCTGTACCTTGTAATCACCCAGTTAATTAAAAAATACAGACTCCTGCACCAATATTAGAAAATCTGATTCAGTAGGACTGAGACAAGACCCAGAAGTATGTATTTGTAACAAGGACCTAGAAGATTCTGATGCACCTGAGCAATTGGGAGCCACTTATTCCATAGAATAAGTAACTTAACACTCAGAGGGGGAAGTGACCTACCTAAGCCCCCAGCTTAGTAACTAAGACAAGGATAGAAATGAGGCGTTCAGACTCCCAGACCAGGATTCTTTTTCAGTTATAGGAAAATCCATTTCTGAAGTTAGTAACACTGTCAAATAAGTCATTGAACTAATTTTTTTAAAAAAGACTTAAACTCCTGGGTCATATGAAGTTCTATTGAAAAGACTTTTTTTGATCTTGATAAATGGTCATGTAATAAAGGTCAAATGTTATTTTTTTAACTAAAATATCTTTAATTTGGGTCTCTTCAACATCTGAAAATAATAAAATATAATCCAGGTATATCTGCAAAGACTCTTTCCAAATAAGGTAACACTCACAGGTTCCAGGGGTTAGCTTATAGATATATCTCTGGGGAGCTACCGTGCAACTCACTACAGTTTTAGGACTTCTATTCCTGGCACCAAATTCTAAATCAGATAGAATGCACTCAACAACAAGTAACAGAAAAGCCAACTCACAAGTAACAGAAAAACCAACTGGCTTAGACAATGAAGAGTGAGGGCAGGGCTCAGTGGCTGAATGATGGCATTGAGGCTGTAGGCTCTTTCTACTTCTTTGCTCTGCTACCCACAGTTTTAGCTTTACCCTTTGTTATTGTGGTGTGACTGCCAGGCAAAGGGAACTCTACATTTCCTCATTCACAACTTAAAGAAGAAGAAAGAGCCTGCCTTTCCACAGCATTCAAGATTGAAGAAGTTTCTTTCCTAGAGCCCTCATCACGCGTCTCCTTGAATCTCATTGGCCCAAATTGGTTTAAGCTTGTCCACCCCTGACAAAGAGGTAAATTGCCATGAATTGCTTAGATTAATCACGGGATAGATGGGATGTTGGGAAATCAGTCACAATGCCTACCACCTTGGAAAATGCAAAACTCAGACATTGTGCTCTTGAGAGGGTTGAACAAAGGTCAAAAATAAATTTTCTGAAGACACAAAAATTTACTAAGGGGAAATTGGCTAGGTAATATTTTGAGATGATAATTTACACTTTTTTATTCCTCCCTGTTTTTCTATGTCCCCTTCTTCCATTCAAATGGATAGCCAATTTGGTACTTCTTTACCTAGGGTGAGATGTTTGATGGGATAAAACATACAAATTTCCTGCACTTTCTCCAGCTTTAGTCTCCCCCAACCCTATATATTTAGAAAAATTATAGAGTTTGAGGAAAGAAGTAAAACAGAATGTGACTTATGGGTGTATCAAATGACTCAGAGAAACACAGACTTTCCCCTATGACAAAGAGATTCACTCTGATTAGAGAAGAAGGTGATGTTTGGGGTTCCCAGAAAAGGAGGGACCAGGGCTCACTTTCTGGAAGCACCGTGGGGTCACACCATGGCGAGGTGACAAGACTCAAGAGTCACAGCTACATTGTAGGTTTAGGCAGCCGAGGCTCCAGATGACCTCACAGGAGACTCATGTGTCCCACCATGGCAGGAAGGTAGTAGAAATTTGCTAGATATAAAGGGCATGTAGACTGGAACAGAAGACACTAAAGTGGCAACTTTTAGAAGATAAAAGTCTTAATTTTTTGGTCTGAGGGCCATCTCTCCACCTCATCATTAATAGCTGAAGTATTTTTTTTTTTTTTTTTTTTTTTGAGACGGAGTCTCGCTCTGTCACCCAGGCTGGAGTGCAGTGGCCGGATCTCAGCTCACTGCAAGCTCTGCCTCCCGGGTTCACGCCATTCTCCTGCCTCAGCCTCCCGAGTAGCTGGGACTACAGGCGCCTGCCACCTGCTGAGGTATTTTTTGAACTTATGAGCTGAGATTCATATATGCTCCAGAGTTACATTTTGGTTGATTTCATATTAGGACCATGACCTTTCTTACATAACTTTTGAATTGCCTTTTCTTGTTCATTTATTCAGCTTCTTAATCATTTTTATCTCCATTTTTAAAGTAGGGGAGTAATGTGATCTGATTTATAATTTTAAAAGATCACTGGGGGGCTCTGTGGAGACTGAAGTGAAAGAGCAATGGTGGAAGCAAGAAAGCCATTGCATAATCCAGGCAAGAGATGATAGTGCCCTAAGTTGAAATGGTGTTAGCAGGAATGATGATAATAGGTAAAATCAATATATAATTTGGAGGTAGAACCATTAATGGACTTTAATCATTAGTCAGTCTGTCAAGAAGAGTTTATCAGGCTCCTACTAAGTGCTAAACGTGGTTCCAGATTCTAGAGTTATAGTGGGGTATAAGACAGAGTCCTTGCCCTCAAAGAGTTTATATTCTAATGGAGGGAGGGGTTGGCCAATAGACATATAAAAAAGTGAATGAAATAATTTTATATACTGATAAGTGCTGTGGAGAAAAGAAAATATAATAATGTAATAGATGACTAGGGAGGCTGCTTACCGTTTTTTCTAATCAACATTATTGAGGTAAAGTTTGTATTAAAAGAAATGCATCCAACTAAGTATACAGTCTGATGAGTCTTGTCATATGAATACACCTGTACAACCACCACCAGTCAAAATATAAAATGTTTTTCTCATCCTAGAAAGTTCCCTTGTACCTGTTTGCAGTTAATCATCCCTCCTCTCCACCCTGGCTCCAGACAACCACTGATGTGTTTCTGTCACTATAGATTCATTTTGAGGCTGCTTACTTTTCAAAAAGACCACTTTTGCTGCCATTGAGGAATGAATAGGAATGAACTGGATTGAAGAGGTGCAAGTCTAGACCTGATAAGAGAAATGTGACAATAAAGTAATAGAAATAAAAATAATTGGTATTTATTGGACATTTATTCAGTCCAAGCACTGTGCTTAGTATTTCCCACACATTATCCATTCAGTTTTATTCAACCTCTGCAACAAGTCCTGTGGGGTTACTCCTATGTTATAGAGGAGGAAACTGAGGCTCAGAGAGGTAAAGTAATTTGCACAAGACTACACTACCAATAAATGGCAGAGTCAGAGTGCGGTTTGCCACATGTTACAAGAGCAAGCACTTCCAGAGTGCTCACTACATGCCAGATACTGTTCTAAGCACTCTAATTTTCTTTTTTTTTTTTTTTTTTATTTAAGTTCTGTGATACACGTGTGGAACATGCAGGTTTGTTATATAGGTATACATGTGCCATGGTGGTTTGCTGCACCTATCAACCCATCATCTAGGTTTTAAGCCCTGCATGCATTAGGTATTTGTCCTAATGCTCTCCCTCCCCTTGCCTCCTACCTTCCAACAGGCCCCAGTGTGTGTTGTTCCCCTCCCTGTGTCCATGTGTTTTCTTTGATCAACTCTCACTTATGAATGAGAATATATGGTGTTTGGTTTTCTATTCCTGGGTTAGTTAGCTGAGGATGATGGTTTCCAGCTTCATCCATGTCTCTGCAAAGGACATGATCTCATTCCTTTTTATGGCTGCATAATATTCCATGGTGAATATGTATCACATTTTCTTTATCTATCTATCATTGATGGGCATTTGAGTTTGTCCTTTAGAAAATTCTAAACAGAATCAAAAGGCTACTGTAGCCTCCCTTAAGAGAAAATAATTCCAGGCTGGATGTGATGGCTCACGCCTAAAATCCCAGCACTTTGGGAGGACAAGGTGAGTGGATCACTTGAGGTCAGGAGTTCGAGACCAGCCTGGGAAACATGGTGAAATCCCATCTCTACTAAAAATACAAAACTTAGCTGGGCATGGTGGTGCACACCTCTAGTCCCAGCTACTTGTGAGGCTGAGGCATGAGAATCACTTGAACCAGGGAGGCGGAGACTGCAATGAGCTGAGATCGCACCACTGCACTCCAGCCTGGGTGACAAAGTGAGACCTTGTCTCAAAAAAAAAAAAAAAAAAAAAAAAAGAGAGAGACACAGAGAGAGAGAGAGAGAGAAAATAATTCCAAATTGAGTGAATGCCTTAATGAAATAGAAAGAGAGATTAGAGCTTGTGAACCTGAAACTAAAGCTGGAAAAAAACCTCTGGAAGAAACTTCTTCCACTAGACTCCCCTTTCTGCCACTCTTCCTGGCTTCATTCCCCTTTCTGGCACTCTTCCTGTCTTCCTGTCTTCTTCCAGTCTTTCTTTCAGAAAATCTTTTTGCCACCTGTCCTTTATCCTTCACTTTCTCCTGCCTCTTTCACTCTTTCAGCTGGTTATTTTGGAAACATTTCTAAATTTTTTCTGAACTTGTCTGTGTGTTTTCTTGTAAAATCCTGTGAGAAATTCCTGTGACTGTATGTTACCTTGATATCCATTTTAATCCTCTTCTGACACACCCAGACTTCTTGAAAAAGCTTAAATTCTTTCTGTGCTTGAGGTATAAATTTGCTACCCTATTTTCTTTAAAGCTCAGTAAAGGCTTCGGGCATGTGGAACAGATAAATTTCAGCCCGTTCCATTTACAGAAATGCAGTTGGAATCAAATTGTTTTTTGAAACTAATGAGTTTTACTTAACTCATGGCTAAGTTTTAAAATGAAAGCTGTAAGATCTTTATTTGTGTCTGTATTTTTGTGTACATATATGTTTACATATCTATTCATATATTGTCTATAGTTCCAAATTGTTTTATAAATAAATGAGTACTTGCCAGGTGCAATGGCTTGTGCCTGTAATCCAAGCTCCTCAGGACACTGAGGTGGAAGGATCACT